CATCCACCCAATCTACGTTATCTTAAATCATCATGACTGGTGAAATAAATACATGTTACTGGTACAGTGTTCTGGTTTTGACATTCGATATCCTGCTTGTATCTTCCTAATTACATCATCGTCTGACATTCCCTGGTAAGGTTCGCCACCTGAAATATGAGTACAGGAAACGACAATTATTATACGTCTAGCTCAGTAAACTATGGCGCTGACCAATACAATAATTTACAGGAGTTATTGCACTTTGTTTAATCCTGATATCTGTACCTTATCAATGAAAACACAAATAACCACGCAGCATATATGCCGAAGCGTACGCTGTATGAGAAACTGAATTCGGGCATTTTGTTCATATTCTTATTATTGTATTTTTTAAACCCCAATAATGTTAATTCTGAGATTTCGTTTCGTACTCAATCGACCGTAACCTTTCATTTATGCTTTAATAAACATCGTAATAACGAACATAAAATACAATCAAATTGATCAGCGGGGCTTAGATACAGCTGCTATGACGGAACTCGTGGATAACCAACGCCAACATTCCCTCGTATACAAATCACTGAATATTTTAAGTTCTACATGATTTGGGTTCTGATTATTGGTAATCCTGACAATTATGTCCCCGTACCTTGAGGCGGACATTGAAACATCAGACTGCAGGCGGTATGGTGAAGCCGAAGCAGCGTTCGATATCATGCAAATTATAGCTTATAATAAGCCACTGAAATTTGGGCAGCAATGGTGTACTGCAAGTTGTAATCTCCACCTAATAAGAACATTCTACCAGCATACAACAACTTGGCAACACATAAATAGTATCTAGTGCAATATTATAATTTGTGCGTCGCTAAAAGTGTTTGGTACAGTGAGTATATGACGACTTGTCTCCTTGAATATGTCAAACTTTAATTTTCAGACACCTAATATTTGTTTGTAGTTACAATTATTACGACGTACACATGTGTGTATAATATATGTTTAATTTGCGACTAGTAGCTATTTACATATTTGATAATTACATGTTAAAACTCACCTAGAGTACTTATCTCCCACAAAACAACACCAAAAGCCCAAATATCAGTTTTAGAAGAATAATTATCATCAGAGAAAAGTTCTACTGCTTTCCAACGATGCTGAATTCCAACCTGTAGCTTTAAATTTAAAGTAGATTGAAAACAAAATTTATTTCTGGGTAAATAATGAGATAAGACCATTTTAATGAAATATTTGATGTCATCGACAACATGATTCGTTAAATTTTCTAACAGGTTCTTCAGTTTATTATCGAGTTTGATATTGTTTGAATATGTTGTTAATTTCACAATTTACAGACTCTTCTACATATTGTATCGCTACTTGTACTTACAAAAGTATTAGTTACGGCGGTTGATGTATTATTTCTGACAGCATACTTCATGTTTGATATCTTGCAGATGTTCCCTTCTCCAACAATAATCGTTTCGGTACAAAGGTTTCTGAGTGTAATCTGTTGAGAGTAGAGACACGATCTGAATAAATTGAAATTGAATAGATTGTATAAATTGATGATTATATAAATTCTTGTTATTATCAAGGAAACACATTTGGAAAAACAATAATTGAAATATTATTATTCAAATGTCCTTCTATTGCTACAATACATATACACATCATATATTTAAGAAATAAAACACCGCATTAGTCGGATATAAGATATTGAACAGTACTGAGCTGCAGACAATCATTTTCAAATATGACTGCCTCTACCGTGCTAGAATAAAATAATCTTTGGAGCTAGGTTATGGTTAGCGACGATGTGCAATTGCCATATTCGACATAATTTAAAATATAATTTTAAATACATCTGTATATATCCATGACATGATTTATAATGAATATATTTAATTTCAAATATAATAATCAAAGTATGTCAGATATCGCATTCATTAAAAAATGGCTGCCAGCCTGCCATTTTGAGTTTCATCTGAAAAACAAAATAACGTGCATCAGGGAGTTGAATGTCCAATGTAAGTACAAAGTTTGAACAAAATCGATCGATAAACGACCGAGACCCGGTTCCGGAATTCCAGAAATGTTTGATTTTGGATGATTTTTTAGCACAAAACAGGCCGTCATTCTGCCATCTAATCAGAGTGTGAAACAGATTAGTGTGCATATGTATGATCTATGTATCAAATTTGAATGTAAGCAGTCCAAACATGCCTGTTGAACATGTCCGAGTGCAA